TGTGTACAGGGTGACAGGTACCCACAAGAACATGGTTGAACATCTCAAAACAGCCATGCAGCAACATCTTTATCCAGTGTGAACTGACTGCAGCGTCCTCACATCCAAAGACCAAACCCCCAAGGCCACACACTGTACTGCCTGGTTTTGTGTGTCAATTTGCCACAAGCTGGAGTTAGCAGAGAGGAAGGAACCCCAGTTCAGGAAATGCCTCCATGAGATCTAGTTGTAAGGCATTTTCTCAGTGATCAATGGGAGAAGGCCCAGCCCATTGTGGGGGTGCCTACCTTGGGTTGGTATTCCTGGGTTCTATAAGTACAGAGGAGCAAGCCAGTAAGCAGCACCCCTCTATGGTTTCTGCTTCAGCTCCTGTTTCTAGGGATCCTACTGTGTTTGAATTCCTGTCCTGACTTGCTTCAATAATGAACAGCAATATGGAAGTGTAGGCTAAATAAGCCCTTTCTCCCCAACTTGCTCTTGGGTCATGGTGTTATTAAAATCCCTAACTAAGCCACACTTCCAGTTAGGGCAGAATTGTTTACAAATGACTGGGGAAAGCAGCTGGAGACTCTGGTGAGGGCCTACCATCCTCCCAACCCCTTCCAGGAATCCTCCCTAACTTGTAAGCAGCCACAGCTGACTTCATGAAGATGGAGACTGTTTAGCTCTGAAGATAACACAAAGGTCCTTACCGGTTCTGTCCTTTGCACCTGCTGTCCTCTCAGACTCAGCCTATCACTGAGGAAGTCCAGGCAGGATCTCTCAGTAGGAACTGGGAGGTAGGAGCTGATGCAGAGGTCATGGATGAGTGGTAGCCACAGGCTTGCTCCTTACAGCTTGCCCAGCCGGTTCTTACAGTACCCAGGACCATAGACCAGGGATGGTACTGCCTACTGGGAACTAGGCCTTCTCTCTTCCCTTCTCTTTAAAACCATGTCTCACTATGCTTCCTAGAATGACCCTGAATTCAATTTGTGATCTGCCTACCTCAGTCTCCCCAAGTGCTATGTATCATTATGACCAATGATTGATGCCTGTTTTCCTTTTAAAGGATTGGAAACCCCAACTTTAACAAAATGACAAAGTAACATTGTGTAACCCAGTACATAGTCGTAACAGTTTTGCAAGGTATTCATTATTTTTCCCTGCATAAGGAATCCTGGTTGATATATTAGATTGTACCTAGTAGGACACTTAGTGCATTTGGAGCATGAAGTTTTTCCTTTCAAGCCAGTGCACATACAAAGACTAATACTCAGAGACTTGAGTGTCTGAGGCTGAGTTTAACACTATTTAAAGAAAGAAAACCTTTGCCAGGGGACATAACTGTTAACATGGTGATTTGTAAAACCCTGGATTTCTAATAAGGTCTGACTATTTCAAGGAAAACATATTTTGTTTCTAGGTAACATTTCAAGTCTTATTATGAACAAACACTACAAAATTGATTTGTAATGGGCAATACTGTAATGTCACAAGGCATTATTTAATGCGTAATGTGACTGAAAGCATTAATTGCTAGGAGCCATATTCTGTCCAAGCAGAACATGAACATGCATTTTGTACCTCGTCTCTTACTGTAGGTTTTCAGATGAATTCGAGTGTAACAAAAGGCACTTAGAAAAGCTGCACCGTCTGAGGATTTGCTTTACTTGTTCGGATTATACAGTTGCTCCCTTGTTAGCAAGCACGGGAGTCTCACCTTCTTAGAAGTGCCCAGTAACAAGAGCTACAGGCTGCTTAGCTACCACATCTCGTGAAGCAGTGCACAGCTAGCAATTTCTTTTTAAGGCTCTGGGTTTATTTAGTCACCTTCGTAATAACATCCTAGCTTCCTCCAGGAACATGCAATTGAGACTTGGCTCTCTCTCTACAGTCTTCAGATGAGTTTATAGTGCTAGAATTGCCCACTAAAATCCAGTGAGTGGTGTGATGTTCTTGGCTTTGGCTCCTGCTGGAAAGAGTATGTCAGCATACTTGAGCTCATGGTATTTATCTAATCTGGAGGCTATTTCTGAAGAAACTAGCCTGACTCTCAATTCTGGTGAGTTCCAGGTGACAATCCAGGCCAAATGCATCCCATCGTCCCTTGCTCCTTATTTACCATTGTCATTTTCTCACATAAAATAGAAAATGATGTGTGATTTACTACAGATGCACATAAGAGAAATGTAACAGTTGTGTATTTTTCTACCTTAAGGTGTGTCATGGACACACACAGCATTTTAGTTGTTCTGGGGGAAATGCTGACGGCTGTCTACCAGGTATCAGGGAAGGGCAATCCTGGTACCAAAACCTTCATGAGCAGGGACTGTGGTCAGCATTGCATTCATGTCCCCATTTCAAATCAGGGAATTACAAAGGGACGTAGTGACTCAGGCCACAGAGGTCATTAAAAAAGTGACTCTGTAGGAGCCCAGATTGAGACCCTTGTTGGCAGGATCTCCTCAAACCCTGAGCCACTTTTTCTATGTACTCTCCACCCTTGTTCTAACTGGGCTTCTCCACACAATGGAGGGGTTTTGTTGTCTTGGAGTCATGCCGACATATTCCCTGTCTCCATAGGACCCAGCAGCATTCATGCCCCAGTGACCTTGGTGCACTTACAAAGTACATCTTCCAAAAGGTGGCCAGAATAGCAGGTGTTCGTATCTCTAGTTTCCATAGTTAACCAATGGGGTCTCCTCTCTTGCTTCTGGGGTTTGTGTATGTCCCCTAAGATTCATATACTGAAACTGAGGTCCCAGTATGATGACATTAACAGCTGGGCTCTTTATGGATCCATACCCACATGTACAAGACAAAAGGGAGTCAACCAGCCGCCTTTGACCATCAGCTCTTCCAGGATGGGAGGACACACAAGACACTATTGTGGAAACAGAAAGCAGCTCTTAATAGATACCAGCCAGTATTAATAGCAGCCAGTGCCTTGCTCAGCCTCCAGAACAGTTAGAACTCTTTATAAATGTTCCAGATTGATGTATATTGTGAGAAAAGTAAGAACAAACAAAGACACACAAAACACTTGATGCCCACTGATAGGAAGGAACCAGTCGGGTGACCCATAGCCTGCTTTTTCATTTTTGTTCCCACTTTAGGGTTCACAGTGTCAGGAGAGGGTCTGTCACAACACTAGGGCAATCAGGGCTATCCTGGGTTACCTAAGACATGCTGTTTTCCTGCATAGAAGGAAGGTTCAGGCTATAAATCCCGGTCTTGCTAAGGGTAAACTGCTCTCTTAGTCATTTTGTTGCATTACCTCTGACTTAAGACCCTCTCAACGAAGGACACTACAGTCACCACACTGTTGAAAACCTGGTTGCAGAGCATGGTGCAGCATAGAAACTCAGGACCACTGGGAAGAGATACAGAGTTGGTCTGACAGAAAGATGGGTCCAGGGCTGGGGAGATGGCTCAGTCAGTAAAGTGCCTCATAAGCACAAGAACCCAAATCAAACCCTTAAAACCTCCTGGGTGAAGGATGGGGGCCTGTGCTTTAGTTACTGTTCTATTGCCATGAAGCCAGACTACCACCAAGGCAACTTACAGAAGAATACATTCAGCTAGAGCCTTGCTTTTAGTTATCTCCCCAGCCCTGGACCCATCTTTCTGTTAGACCAGCTCTGTATCTCTTCCCAGTGGTCCCGAGTTTCTATGCTGCACCATGCTCTGCCACCAGATTTTCAACAGTGTGGTGACTGTAGTGTCCTACATTGAGAGGGTCTTAAGTCAGAGGTAATACAACAGAATAGGAGAGCAGAGGATTAGTCCATGACCATCATGATGGGGGAGCATGGCAGCAGGCAGACAAGCATGGTGCTGGAGAATTAGCTTGGAGCTTTACATCTAGATCACCAGGCAGCAGGCAGAGAGAGACACTGGGCCTGGTGTGGGTGTTTTAAACCTCGATGCTCACTCCCAGTGGTACGTCTCCTAATCTGTCTTAAATAGTTCCACTTCCTGGTGAAGAAGCATTCAAATATCTGAGCCTCTGGAGGCCATATCATTCAAACTACCCCATTTTATAATCCCAGCTCTGAGAGGCAGAGACAGGTGGATCCCCAAACCTCACTGGCCACACAGACTGGTCTAATGAGTGACCTCCCATCTAATGAGAGACCTGGTCTCAAAGTCGGTGGATGACATTCCTGAGGATGCACTTACTAAATGCAAACTCACACAAGAACATGCATACCTCTCCCATGCATACACATCACATACACACGCACACACACACACACACTTAAAGAAAAGATGAGCCCAAAGTCCTACATGGACTCAAGTTTTAGTTCTACCAGCCAAAGTTTCTATGGTCTCTGCAAGTTAGTCTTTCCTGGTTATACAGTGGAATAAGAATAAGAATGCCCACCTCTCAGGTGTCTGTACAGCATGAAGAGACAGTGTGAGGGCAAGGGCCTCTGGGAATGAAGCAAGGCCTCTGAGGACCCACATGAGCAGGTCCAGGTCCAGAACCAGAAGCTCAGCAGGTCAATGCCTGCATAGCCAGTTTACTGGAAAATAGTTTCCCAAGGTTGAGAATTATTATAGAAGAGTTTATAAAACCTTAATGTTTATCTAGGCAAAACAGAATAGCCTTGATGACATATGGCCTTTGTGTATATTGTGCATGGCAAGGGTATTCCAGAACTAGAATGGGTGGTAGGGATTTGTCATTGAATTCCACAGCTGACTAAGAGTCTCTGCTTGAAAAGCATTCAAGGAATCCAGCTGAGAAAGGTCATTAGAGACCTTCTTTTCCAGATGTGGACACAGGCCCATTGACTAAACCTAGAGTTCTTTCTGTTGGGTTGAGACACAAGCATCAACCTAGTATTAAAACCCTCCCCCTGTTTCCCACCAACATCTTTAGAGGCTCACCATTCTCATCTGCAAAATGGTGATAGTAGCATCCGCTCTTTAGGTGCTCCCCAGCAAAAGGTATGGTCAGCACTCAGCGCTGGTGGCCTTTATTACTGCCACACCTCAGCATGGTCTTCATATGTTTTAGCATCAGAGATTAATTTTATTCAGTTACTTGTTGACTTCCACCCATGACATAGGTGATGGATACAGGGAAAATATGTGGCGGAGAAACATCACAGGCTTGTCATTTTTGTTGTTTTAAATATAGGGAGAAGAAAGGTGATTTTTCTAGAGCCATAGTTCATACAGACAGAAAAAGATAAAATCAGGGATTTATTTACTGAAAGAAGCTAAAGATATGTAATGAGTCAAATTAAAGAACCCAAACCATAGGAAATAGATAATCTACCTGATAAGATACTGCCAAAGAAGTAAAGAATTTCACTGGATGTGGAAAAGCTGGCAGAACAATGGGCCTGCAGGCAGTACATGGCCACTATGTGGAAATGGCCGACTTCATGGCCCTGTATTTGCTCAGGGTTGGGGCTGCATGGCAAGGAGGGTATCAGTGTGGAGGCTAAGACTGTGAGTTTGGAGTATGGTACTTTCACAGAGGCGAATGGCTTCTGTCTGTAAACCTCACAGTGTACTTCTTGTAAAAGCGTTAGAATGGTGCCTCCCTTGAAGTGTAGTTGTGAGCTGCTTTGTGTGTTAAGTTGTGAAAAGTACTTGGCTACAGGCCTGTTCCAAAGAGATATTCCACTTTGAAGTTCAATAACTGTTATAAAAATGTTTAAGTCATTGACAGCTATTTTAAGGGCAAAAAAATATGCTAATGAAATGTACAGAGAACAACCTAAACTTCATTTTATGACATAGTGATTTCCATGGATAATGTCAGACAATCCATGCTATGCTGGACTCATCAGCTTCTGGAGACTGTTCCTAAAGTCTTCTGGAAGGTTCTCTGGTTTGCTAGTGGCTGGATTCACAAAGACGTGGACTGAAGACCCCGTGGTACATGCCAGAGTGTCAAACTGTGCTAATTTAGGATGGCCTAAGAAAAAACCATTGATGAGATCATGGTGATTTACTGACAGCAGCTCCTTGGTGGGCTTAGGAGGAAACAGAGCCAGACTGTAACATACACTGGAGCGACCCACTTTCTCCACAGCCAGGGCAGCCAGTGGGATCTGAGGAAAGCTGATGGGTGTATGGTACTTGCACTGATTGGTCACCATGAACCCCACCAGGGGGGACGTCAGCAAGCTGGTTTCCAGGCCACAGTACCTAGAAAATGAAGTCACAGTGTTTACTGTAGGTCACCGCAACATGAACATCATCTCCTAATCCAAAGGCTGTGTGTTCAGCAGCTCGGGAACCCCAGTTCCATCTCTTCCTACCTGAGTTCCTTTGGACAAGTTATTTAACTTCCCCTTATCTCAGTTTCTACAACAATATAATGACCACAGTCTTCCTAGTCTGATTATGGGCATTAAAAGACTAACATTTAGGGCTGGAGAGATGGCTCAGAGATTAAGAGCACATACTGTTCTTCCAGAGGATCCAAGTTTTGTTCCCAGCTCCCATGTCAGGTGGCTTACTCCAGTCCGTTACTCCAGCTCCAGGGTGTTTGCTACCCTCTTCTGACCTCCATGGTCACCGAATTCTTGTGCACATATCCCCATAAGTATCTCATAGATAAAAATAAAACCTCTTTTTCTAAAAAGGTGAATGTTTATCATTTAATATATCATAGTTCCTAGTCATAATGATTCCTCATTTACATAGGCTGCTTTAATATAATTCTGTCAACTTGTCTAGTTGTGATAACACACTCTGACCCTCCTGAACAACAACAGCAGCAGCAGCAAAAACAATTTAGAAAAGTTTAATTTAGCTCATAATTCCAGGTTGAAAGGAAGTCTTGCAGGATCTTGAAATAGTCACATTCATAGTCAAGAGCAGAGAGGGATGAAGGCATGCATGCTTGCCAGTGCTCATCTCTATACTTACACAGTTCTGCATCCCATGCCCAGGGAATGGTGCCACCCACAGTGGACCCGGTCTTCCTATATCAATCCCCCGCCCCCAGACTTGCCCATGAACCAAACTGATATATAGACAATCCCTTACTGAGACTGTCTTTCCAGATGATTCTAGATTGTGCCAGTTTTACAATCAAAATTAACCATCACACCTGTTTTTCATCAATAGCTACTTCTGTGTTAAATGAAAAAGAAAACTCATTATAAGAAGTTACTGTGGTCTTTAACTCTGCCTCTACACTTTGATCTCTTTAAGAATGAGAGCTGCATCTCACTCATTTTTTGCTTGTTGATTAGAAATGGAGTGACCCTTGACATAGAATTTAGAGGACCAAATTTCAGCATAGAGGACCAATAGGTGGTTGTTAGCTGCTGAGAAATGAAGAGTCAGTTTTCTCTAAGAATGTGTCCCCTAGTAAGTCGACCATGCTCCATGGGAAGGCCACACATCCAAGATATTTGAGCAGCACAGATTGGCTTATTTAAAGGTGAGGTGTCACCAAGTTGGGTAGGAAGGAAGGGAGTAGATAAATCTGGCAAGGGGGTGGCCAGGAGAAAGAATGAACATGATCAAAACTCACTGGACAAAACTCTCAGAAAACAAAACAAAACAAACTTTCAAGGTCAAACAGAAAGGGAGGGAAGAGCATTGTGCTGAGAGCCAGCCCCTGCCTCCTCCCACTGGAGGCCCTTTGCTATTGTGATTTAAGCATTTTCCTACTGCCCTTTCTTGCAAAGACTGAATGTGAGGACTCTCTGTAAAGAATCCTGGTGGACTGTGTAAAGGATTCACTCTAAAATTGTTCATTGGAGATGGAGTGACAAAACCCAACTCTGAGTCTCAAAGAGGGCCATGTGAGGGCCTGGTTGTGCACAGTCATTCCTGTTGTCCATCAATGTCACCCAGGGAAACACTGGGTACTTTTTACTTTCCCACACGGAAAGCTGTCCAATAGGAAAGACCCCTACAGAATAGTTGTACTATATCATACTGGGTGAGCTCATCTGTTACATTAGAACACAGTGTGTATCCGGATTTCCTAGAAAAAAACTTTGAAAAGATGAATGTGCTTTCTTTTTTCTTATTCCTCTTATGAATGTTTCCAATTGAACACAGTTTATTTTTGAAAGAAGAAAATGTTTTAAAATGACTGAGTATTTAAATAAACACTCAAAGATCTAAATGAGGTCTGTTGGTCTTTGTCTCTCCTCCTTTGTGTCTCTTCTTCAGGAGTGCCATGTTTAGGTTACTGTTACAAAAGTAGCATAGACTGAGGACCTTATAAACACAGAAGTTCATCTCATACAGTTCTGACATCCAGGGCATCTAAGGTCAAGATGCCAGTAGATGGAGTCTGGAGAGAGTTTGTTTAGTGCTTCACAGACAGCGCTGATGTGTGTCGGCACAAGCGGAGCCGCTCTCCCAGGTCTAGGTCATAAGGGCATTAATTCTATTCATGAGGCTCTGACCTTATCACCGAATCAACTCTCACGGGCCCTATTGATAGAGTCTCTCATACGGAAGTTTAAGTCTCAATGCAGGAATCCAGGATGGCACAAACATCCATGGCATTGCAGAGGGGAAAGCTAACTGAGGAGAGCCTTGCTTTGTGCTCTGTCTCCAAGATCCACTGAAAATCAGACCCCTGCTTCATTTTCAGAGCCTCTCAGTGGCTTTTCTATACCAGGCCACCTTTCCCTCTCTCTGCTAGGGAGCAGGCAGCAGAGAAACAGTATCTCTGCCCTGCAGGATAGAAATATTTCATGAGCTCGCTGTTTGCGAGTGAGCACAGCCCAGATGCTCTTAAATAATTGAAACGTGCCACATTTAAACACAGCAGCTACTGTGCACCTGGGACGTGAGAAGCCTGTGTCCCCTGCATTGTCCTCTCTTCAGTTTTCCAAACAACCCTGCAAGGTAGCATTTGCCTCCCCGAATTTATAGGGAATAAAGGAATTTGCATGCAATAGTGTTGGGCTTGGCTCTAAACTCTGGGCTCTCATGATGCAGGTTCAAATATTCGCCCCACCCCCACCCTGTTCCAAAATGTTAGATGATGAAACCAACAACAACAGAATCTGTATCTCAAGTCAATGGACTACATTAAAATATTTTTAATTATTTGAGAAATCCATACAATATATTTTGATAATCTCTCAGTTAATTGCCCTAACTCCTCTCATATCTACCACACTTCCAGTAGTTTCATAACTTCTGTGTGTGTGTGTGTGTGTGTGTGTGTTGTGTGTGTGTGTGTGTGCGCACGCAGGGTCAACCTACCAGGAACCATAACCCTCACACTGCGATTGTTTTTGTGACATCAGAACAGTGTCATCTTCTGAGACACCACACATCATGTTCAAAACCTCACAAACCAGTTTGATGGGCTTGGTGGTAGCTGCAGGCTCCCAGTGAGAAGCTTTTCTACTCTTGCTTTTCTTTTTCTCAAAGTTCATAAATGTAAGGGTACCTCTAAAACTCAACTAGTCATTAAATCCCCGCAAATAAAACCCAGTAGTTTCCTATGGGCTCTTACCCTTCCCTTGCCAAGATGGTAGCTTGTTCCTTTTTGGTTGCAGAGGAAAGTCATGTTTCCCTCCTATTTTCAATGTCTTCTTTCATGTTATCTTTCCATCTTGAACAAGCCTTAATTGTGTACCCATTCCATCTCCAGCATGTCTCAAATGAGGAAAAGGAAGGCATTATTGCCTTCCATGTCTACAACTTCCCCATTCGAAACCATTGATCATTTCATGAAGCTGGCGAGTGAGGGCTCCTTCACACACTGTGTAAATCTCAAACAGAACAGATGATCAGACTCAATCCCGAGGCAATGTGATAAACTTAATACCAGGCTAAGTACAGGGATGCTGTCGGGTAGGAGCAGGGACCTACTTGATCTTGGGAAGCACGGATGGTTTTCAGAGAAGTGACAGCTTAAAATGGGATGTTAAAAGGATTCGGAGTCATTCAAGTAACTAGTGGAAGGAAAAGCCTTCTGCAGAAAACAGATGTATCAGAGGCCAGAGAGAAAGGCTGTGGAGACAGCAGAAGTTCCCATCAGGAGACATAGACCACAGAGGAGGCAGGAGCCAGACTTGGAAGGATTTTGTGAATGAGCTTGGCCTTTATCCCGGGCAAAGGGAAGACAGTGCACACATGGAAGGGAGAGGCAAGACGGGGGTTGTTTCATGAAATGATCAATGGTTTTGAATGGGGCACTTGTAGACATGGAAGGCGATAATGCCTGCAGAAGACTAACGAGGCAATCCTACCCTCCTGGAAAAGATGTTGGTGGCTTGGACCAGAGTGGCCACAGAGGAGATGGAAAATAATCTAATGAACTCGAGGGTTTTTGTTTGTTTGTTTGTTTGTTTTTCTTTCCTTTTCTTTCTTTCTCTCTTTCTTTCATTATTACTATTATTATTAATTATTATTATTATTTGCAAAAGTCTAGTGGCTGAATGAGGGTAAAGGTATTTAAAATAGCAGTTTCCAGGCTTCAGCAAGGAGCTGATGAGTCCACTGGCAGGAGGGGATGATGGGAATGCTTGGTGTGGGTGAGGAAGGAAAAGTGAGTCGGGTGCTAAGGAGGCTGGATTAAGACTTGGAGTGTCTAAGAAGCGATACGAATCATTGCCTAATGTTCCCTGCCTCTCTTAGCTCCTATCTCCAGCCAAACCTGTCTTTTGAGCTCCAGACCTAGATATCCAAATGCTTCCAGGGAGAAACTCTAGGTTCTGTGCTTAATGGAATCCGGTTCGGGCAGGTAACACAGAGGGTTGGGGTTGGCTGAGAGTAATACAGCGTGGTTCGTCTGTGTGGAACTGGAAAGCAAGTGCTGGTCCAACGCCAGACAGATTCAGGCTTCTGGAAGACATTAGGCAGGTTTTGTCCTTCAAGCTCCCAGTCTATAATCGCTTAGTTGAAGTGATTATCAAACATGGGAAGAGATTATATCTTGGTGACCCAGAGACTCAGCTTTCATAAACGCATTTGCAGTTGATGACTTCCTGGCACGTAACACGCAACCGGAAGTGTATGAGTCACAGGAGCTGAATGCTAATCTTCCATGCATTCTTATGCCTGACTCGGTAAATTTTAGACAATGGAATGCTTCAGTTGAAAGAGCCTCTGTGGATGGATCATCTAGCAGGGGCTCTCAACCCTGACACAAACCAGAATCTCTTGCAGAACCCCAGAATCGCACAGATCTCGCACATCCTGCCAGATCTCCCCAA